CGTTAAAATGAGTCTGAGCTCCCATTCACGCTGGCTCTTTCTCTCCCTCACGCTTGATCGCCCTCCCTCTGCAGCTCACGCTCCCAATCTTCTCCGCTCCCACGCGATTCCTCTCTCCCTCTCTGACTCCTACGGCTGTTCGACCTTGCTCCTTCGGCCGACGTTCCCTTTCAGGTCGGATCGGAAGTTACGTGTATCGATCAGAGGCGACACCAGAGCTCGCTTGCGGTGAAGATAACTTTCTCCCTTGCGTCGCTTCTCCGCCTCCTCCCTGGACGTTTGACATCGCTCCTTTGACGACTTCCTGCCCGATCGGAAGTTAACATTTTGATCAAAAGCATCAACGGGAGCTCACTGCTGTGAAGGTAACTTTCTCCTTACCGCACGCTTCTTTGGTCGGATCCCGTGAGCAAGAGAAAGGGGGAGGGGATTAAAACATTTTAATTAATGTTAATTTAATGATAATTATTATTTAATTAAAATTACAATTAGTTAATTAATTATGATTAATTAATAGTTAATTATTAGTTATAATTATTTGATTGATTATAATTAATTTCGATTAATTATTAAAAAATTATAATTATAATTACTTTATTAATTATAATTAATTAATAATTAGTGATTAATCATTAATTATAATTACTAAATTTTTATTATAATTAATGTTAATTATGAAAAATATATAATCATAAGAATACAAATGTGTGTTTTTTCCACCTCGACATCTATGCCCTCCACCGCCGGTCCATTGGTCCGCCAGCTGCCAAAGGTATAACTTCTAAAACCTTTATTCACTCTCTTACCTCGGCATGCATGTCGAGTCGGTGGTCTGCCTATACACGCTTTTCTCTAGCGTGGTGGGAGGGGCAACCGGCGCGAGACCCACGATAAGGTAGGCGAGCGACCCTCGGTTCCAAACCTGTTCTCGACGTTCGTGGCGCACTGGCAAACCACCTATACACGCTTTTCTCTAGCGTGGTGGGAAGGGAACCCAGTGCGGCGCCTACGACGAGATCGGGATATTCATAAGTACCCGCTTGCGGGGAAACAACTGCCTCTCTCTTACAACAGGTACCGAAGACCCATACACGCCTTTCTCTGGCGTGGTGGGGACAAAGACTTTACACGCCCGCGGTGTCCTCGTAAGAGGGCACCTACCGTACACGCTTTTCTCTAGCATGGCGGGAAAGGCCCAGTTTTCCGTCATTTTCCCCTAAACGGGGGAGATGCCGGGAGGCTGCCGAAATTTCGGGTGAAATGTTGCTACACTGACCTGTTTGAACTCAAAAGAACAAGAGCTTGGACTCAAATGAGAGAGGACCTGAACAAAATTCAAATGATCAATAAAGATCAAATTCAAATGAAACAAAATCAAATTGGAACCATACTTTAAGTCAAATTGAGTATTCAATTGAAATCAAAAAATCTCAAAAGACTTTGAGTAATCATTTGAATATACACTCGGGCTCACATTCAAACTTACTAAGTGTGGAGGACACTAAAATTGAACAAGACTCAGACTACGGGGGACATAAAACTGAGCTTGTGCATTAAGCTCATGAACCTGACTTAAATCAGTCCTGAACAAGCACTTGAACTTGTACTTAGAACTCGAACTGTGCAGCATCAGGGGACCCGAACATAGAACTCAAGCTTGAATTCAATTTAAGAATGAAATAAATTGAATAAGATAACTTGAACTTGTACTCTGAACTCAAAACTGGAATGAGATGTGGAGAGCAAAGAACGCAAATTGAACTCAAGCTGAATCCGAAATAGGGACTTGAGTTTGAATGGGATGCCAAGAGTTGAACCCATAACGACATACAAGACTCAAGCATGAGTCGGACCTTGAACTCGGGTCTGATGAAATACATAGGACCAGGGCTTTGGATGAATTAACAAATCAGAGTCTAAATACACAGTTCTCTAAATTAACAACAAGCTACAAGTGGAAAATGAAATCCCGATGCACATGAAAGATGTACGAATTCCTACAACAATCCCCACAATGTCTGTTGATTGAGATGGCAATACGGGAAACCAATAGTGGAGGACCGTCCTCTACAAACAAATGCAACCCAACAACAACCACCTGAGATTGGTGAAAGGTGGTTTCGATACAAAAGCAAGGGCTCTCCTACAAATACTACTAGGAGGTCATAGCGAATACAACTGATCCCCAGCAAATGGATACTTGCGGATAACAACAGTGTGTATGTCAACGAATCACTGTGGACACAAGTACGGATATCACCTACAACAGTGGTAATTAAGATCTTCAACTATGTCGGGTACAAGGGCAACTCGATGTACAGAGAAGGACACCCCCTGACAAAAGGGAGGAAATGTTTGAACAAATTAGAACCAAACTTTCGGGTGTTCCAAAGTCTCTTCTTAGTTCCATACTTGAGAAGAAAACTGTTCTGGTGTCTACAAACACCGAAAATAACGAGTCCGCTACACCGATGATCTTAAAAGGAGTACTTTTCAAATCAGCAGTCTTTGACTACAACGTTTAGAAAGATCCTTCCCCAGTGATTGAGAAAGGAGGAGTCAACATCAAAATCCAATGCCACCAGATCCGCAACACTCGTACTAGCGGGCAGAAGGCATGTACAAGCTCTCAAATGAAATGTTGTGCATCCAAATGACAATAATACACACAACTACAAATATTTCAAAATACCTCTGCACGTGCACTATAAATTGTATGCACATAGGTACACTAAGGGGGTAAATACAATCTTGACCTGCATGGGCCCGACAAGCATATTATTGGTATACATGTGACGTCTAGGGATGCTGCGCGGGTCGACAAGTGAATTCAAGTTCAAACCCGATCCTTCTATACAGATCTATAGTAGTCAACAGAGTTTGAACCTTTAAACAAATACACGGTTGTGGCGACCGTTGTATTTATTTAATACATTCATATTAGGCCTTCCTACAATCAAGAGAATTCACTAAACAAAAGGCAAAAAGCCTATGAAACCCGATCCTCCTAAGTGGATAAATAGGAGTAGACAGGGTTTGAGATATCGGATAAATATGCGGTCACGAAATTTGACCAGAATATTTATTTTGTACATTCATATTCGGCCTTCAAGGCCTTCAACAAAGAAAATTTACAAGCAAAGGCACAAAACCTACAAGAAACCCGATCCTCGGTCAACCGCTTGGCTGAGTCAACAAGGTTTAATCAATGAATGACCCCACACCCCGATGATGGCCGTGTTGAACGAATATCTCAACCGGAGGGGTTCATAAACATTTTCAAGTGCCTCCCAAAAAAAATTCACAAGCAAAGGCACAAAGCCTACAAGAAACCCGATCCTCGGTCAACCGCTTGGCTGAGTCAACAAGGTTTAATCAATGAATGACCCCACACCCCGATGATGGCTGTGTTGATTGCTTATCTCAACCGGAGGGGTTTACAAGCATTTTCAAATGACTCCCAAATATCAAAATGTCCTCCAAGCTCCACCCAAAAATCTAAAATTCCACAAATCCTAAAATCTAGATATTTAAATTTGAAATCAAGCCATCAATCACTCAAAATAAAATTTATCCACCCTCCGCAACAGTTTGCCAAGGTGGACAAATTCAAATATAACTTTAGCTCACTAAGAGTCAAATGCCTAGTCGAAAATATCACTAGGATCCATTCTCAAACAGTCTCCTACTAGTAATGACGTGGTACGTGTCCTCTGACCGGCGGTCTGCCGCCAAATGGCACCGCAGGATAAACGGTTATGACGACCCGGGGCCCTCTGAACCGAGTGGTTTTGCCCCGCCAATGGCACCACGAACATAGCCGGTTATGGGCAAGAGCCAATATACGTGCCTTGATTGGCACAATCCTTGAGATATGAATCAATAAGATTGATCGATAGGGCACAAACCCCTGTTAGTAGCGTGGATTTAAATTTAGTCTCCCTAGGCAAATATTCACCATCTAGGTCATACAAGCGTCCCTCTGGACGAAGCAACCCTATGGCTGCGACCAAGATCTGTCTGTCAGGTTGGGTCGACACCTCCTCTAACTATAGTAGATCTGGGACCAGACCACGAATGGCCCGAGATGAGAACCATGGGATCTTGATCCGGGCCATCATCCCATTCCCCACCATCCGCTTTAAGTGCAACGATGGTGCCTAATTTTTATTTAAATATCAAATCTTCCAACTCAAATCCAAATGACCCACTCTTCTAATTCCTAAATCCAAAACTCCATCTCAAGACCCTATGCGCTACTATATGCCAGATAACACGTATATTCTACGAATCCGATTGACGACTAGCTTTAATCGAAAGTTCTCTCTCGTGATCGGTAGGGGTAATTAATTATAAGGGCTTGTACCTGTAGGAAACCAGAACTCAGATCATAAAGTCCTCGCAAAATGAGGGCGAAATCTCTGGGTAGTGTCTTATCTACAAACCCATCTGCCTTCCAAAATTTACCCCGGAACTTAATCCGTTAAAACTCCCTCGCCGAATAAAAAAAAGCGCCGCGGGGAAGCCGGGGACGAATTTTCGGAGCCCACAAGAATCAAAGCCAAATAAACACTAAACAAGATACAAGTAATCTTCAATTTGAGAGGAGAATTGTTCTCTCCCAATTTTTAGACAAGGATTCTAGAGCCCAAGACGCCAAGGAACTACAAGAGAAACAAATCAAGCATAACCCTAACCCTAAAACACATCATGTTATTTAATACATAAACTTTCCAAATCAATTTTTCCCCCAAAGCCCTAGCCGCCCCCTCCTTTTCTAATTTGAATTCAATTGTAATTGAGGGACCCACTATTGTGGGTGGCAAGCATAAAGAAGGCGGGACTAGCCTACCTCCTACAAACAAAAACCGGCCCTGGACGGGCCAGTTAGGCCAGTTCAGGAGGAACCGGCCTATCATAAACTTCTGACCAACTTACCAACAGTAAAGGTCTAAAGGAAGGACAACACCTGATCACTTGAAAATAGGGAGAATACTTACCTCCACGTCAAGTTCATTACCCAAACATGCAGTCCCCCTTTCTCTTCAACTGCTACAAGATAATTTGGCTCGCAAACTGATATGCAACAAATTCCCTCGCCAGTTATCAACTTTTTAATACTTGAAACATAACCAAATTTCACATGAACAATATCCAGGCTTGTTTCTTTAGAAGACTCGGATTTGCATTCTGAGCATAAACAACTGATCTTTTGTTCCCTAATAATTTGCATACTCAATTAGCAATGGCATAAAAAACATGGATTAATATTTTCTAGGAATATCAATACCAAAAATACAGTATCCATATGCCACCTGCAACGGGGTACTTTAATGCTGTTGACAAAAATGAGAGACTGCCCATCAGGAGTCAACTGCAATGCAGATCTTTCAAAAGAAATCTGCATGAAGGAGACAGTTCAAATCTGTTTAAGAATGTTTGGAAATCCTGCTGAAGATAACCAACTATAAATGGCGCATGGGAGGCTCTATATCTTATTTTATATACTTACATTTCTGTTCCATCGGTTTCTCGCAAAGGGAAGTAAAAGTGGCGTGTAACCAAGAAAAGAAGGACATCCTCTCCTCTGCTTTTCAACAGAAAGAGCATACATAAATATATATCTATTGCTCCTGTCAGGAAAGCCACATAAGATACTAAGTTGTAATTGATTCCTGTTTGCGATTAACAATATGGACAACACAGGTTCTGGATGTAAATAGCAGCCAACAAGCTCCATATGTCTATCCCCTTCATTCCAGTTCAAACTTTTAGCTAATGAACCATCTAAAAGGCTTCTCCTGTAGAGCGTATCATGAGAAGGATTTTTGTGGCCATTGGTAGTAGTTGGTTGCAAGATGGAATTCTTCTCGGAGTAAAATGAAGTTTTCACAAGAGGGTTCTTGTAAGAAGGTTGTAGCTGACTAAGAGTAAATGTTTTGCTTCGTTCAGGAATTTCTTTTATCCCCTCTTTTACTGGAAGTGAAGAGCACGATCCAGGCTTAGAAAACTGACTAACATCATCCATAGGGTCTTCACTGAACCAAAAAGGGGAACGATTAGCTTGAGGCACTTCGATAATTCCTGTTACATTTGTATCCAATTCCTGACTTTGAAATGCCTCGGCAGCAGTAATGAGCCAGTTGGCTTCAAGTTCAGATGCATTTGGGATATTTCTTAAATCGATTTTTGGCTCAGCAGTCTTGACTTCGCAAACAGAAAGAATCCTAGAATCTGCATTGTAATTCATATGACTGGATTGATAATTTTTAGCTGCAAACAAAGACTTTCTAGAAGAGTTCATCTCTGGAATATCGGATTTATTCAGATCTTGGCATACAATAGTTTCTGACAGAGGAGCATTACAGAAGCTGTTGAAGTTTTCTGCCTCAATTGTATCAACTGGTATCCCACCAGTAACCAGCACACCCTTTGGCATGCATAGGGATGAATGGCTGTCCTTCTCACTCATTGGCTCACCATTATTGATTCCATGCATACCAAAATTAACAACTTCAATGGGACTATAACTTCCATGTTTTTCCTTAACGGATCCAAAAGAATTGTGACTTTCAATAACTTCTTCAGAAACTTCATTATCAATCAAATTATCGAGGATATGGCATAATAGAGTGTTCTGCTCAAAATTTTCAGCTATAATAGGATTCTTTCCTAGAGCCACTTGGAAATTTTCCTCTTCAGCACTGTGTTTAGATTCATGATTAAAATGAAGAGAGCTACTTTGCATTACACAGGCAGCATCCAAGGAATTAAGATTTTCAGTTAAATGGTTTGCATTCTTTGCAACCTTCTTTATGAGTTCAGCATTAGTTTCTTCGGCTGGAGGGATATGCTTGGCAGGTTCTACAACGGTTATCATTAAATCAGCAAGATCATCCCTTCTGCCAGGAGAAAGAACTTCTAGATTGTATGCATCATTCTGAGAAAAACATTTCACCAACTCATTAACCTCGTCCGCATCAGTAATAAGCAAGTTTGAGGTATAAGAATTTCTTTTCACATCATTTTGAGGTGAAATATCAGATTCATGAAAGCCCACACATGGTTGTTCTTTCATAGAGGCACTATATGAATTTACGTCATTCTCAAAGCTATCAGGAATGACAGACTTGAGATCCTTTGAACATCTATTTCCAGAAAATGTGTCATTGACTAGGTGCAGGTTAGAACTAATAAAATCACAAGACGAGCAAACTCGTGATAATGTCTTTGAAGCATCAATAACCTCATCAATAGTCTTTTCTGGAAGCTGAGCAAGTGTTCCAGCCACAAGTTTCCCTGAAAAAGAGAAAAATATGTTTAACTAACAGTCTAACTACTCTAGACAATCCAGTCAGGCCAAGTCACTCACAACAGCATGCTTATTAATTTCAAACATTGCAGGATCAGCTCTCCTATGTGAGTGATTCAGCCTGACCAAATTAAGCCAAAAAGCATTTCCCTATAATAAAAGATTTGCGCCCTTCAGCAGCAGAGAATCACAGAGCAACCAAAAATAATCTGGGTGCCAAGCCCATGCTTGCCAAATAGAATGGGTACCTCTGCTGCATTGAAGTCAGTACCTTGATGCAAAATATTGTTGAGATGGTCATTTACAGTTTTTGGGTCTGCAGAATTCCTATCAATCAAAATACAACAAGGATCATTAGCTTCCAGAAGTCTTGCTCTTGATCTTCTCCTCACATAAGTTTTCTTAAGTAAAGGAACTGCTCGTGGAAGCAAAAATGTCATCATTGATTTAGCTAACTCCTGCCCAGCTAAATCTAAGTCAACATCTTCAAAACTTTGACCAGTAGATCCAGAAGAGCCAACTTCTGGCAGCGAATCTTTGGCAACTCCGTTATGAATGCCATCCTCTAGGATGCAGCCAGTGTAAAAGACATCCTGAGGCATTAAACATCTAGGTTCTGAACCACATGGGATGCTTCTGCTAGTCAAATTCTTTAACTCACTCTTAGAAACAATTTCCAGTGAATGAGATTTGGAAGTTCTGGATAAAGGCTCAAGTGCAACAAGCTCATTCTTCATGCAGCTAGGGATTTCATTTAAGCGGTCCAAAGCAGACATCGCAACGTTATCTGTACAAAGAACTTATTCAGCAAATGTCATATGAAACATTTAGTTTGCACAAGATAATAGAATCTTGTATCTAATGAAGACCAGCACCTACTAACATCAAAAGGTGTTCCATTGCAGTTTTTACCAATAACAGTGTCACAAGTATCGGAAATGTAGACATCAGATAAACTTGCCAAGGCCATGAGTTCTTCACAATCGCCTTTTGGCACTGATGAAACTGGATTACTCCTTTCATTTACACCATCCGGACACCTATGAAGCTGTGAGAAGAATTAATCTGTTTGCTCTAAATTACTGAAATTGTTTTAAGAAAGAACGTTGCATTTCATCATGCAAACTTAATGCAGCTTTATAAGCTTCAGTTATGCTATATGATAGAATTATCAGAATCCATCTCTAAAACCCATATTCACACAAGCAAAAGAACAGAAATGCACCGACACGCTAAGGGATACGGATGAAGGGAGAAAGCGGACTGGCAGTTTAGCTCGTAGATCTAAGATCCTAAAAAAAACAGATATATTCAGTGCTTGAAATGGACTTCATGTTGAAATGCCAGAATAAAATAATTTATGTCGAGCCAATGTTAAGCCAAGACTGCTACAAATCAAGCTGGCATAAATTTTAAAATCAAATTGATATATAAACATAATGTAATAACCTGAGAAATTGTGAAAATATCCTAAGCATTTTAACGGGTTGATATTGAAATTTCATCGCGTAATTTTGGCAATATGCCATTTTAACTAAACTAATTAGTGTAATTATAAAACTATCATGAAAAAGTGTACTACATTTAGATATGGAATAATACAACATGGATCCATTTAACCTTCAATTAGGTCAACATAAATTTTTTGGCATACTACAAACATACTGATGATTCTACTGATAATTACATTGAATGTTTGTATGATGTTTGTTATTATATGGTGTGACGTATAAAAAAAGGGCAAGAAAGGCTGCCGAAAAATGATTGACTAATTCATGTTGGCTGAAGATATGTTATCCCATAGAGGATGGTAGACCAACGAGCTTTCTTTTCAATAAGGTTTGTAATGTAATCCTAATGATATAAAAAGAGAGGCATAAAAAGATTGATTGATATGCTACACTACATCGACGGGCATGAAGTAACGACTTCTTACAAGAAAGTCATCTGACTGACTTGTGACATGTGATATGAGATTGATTCCTAGAAATATAACTAATATAATTGAGACTGATTCTTATAAGTTTGACCTACAAGACTAGAAATGAGAAAGAACATCACAGATAATCAGGCGTCTTATCTAACTTATATTGCTTACATTGATACATTTCTTGCATAATCATATGATAGGAACATATATGATAGATTACACATATGATATGATATGATCTATACATGATATAGGATATAACTGATATAAGTATGTGATATGCTTGATTATATATATATATATATATATATCACATGCCATGAATTATATGATACATAATATATTGCAGGGACATTGGTTAGACTACATTGGACATGATATATGTATATATAATATAGATAATATATGACATGCATATTATAATAATAAGTGTATGGATTTCTTAAGTAGATATATTAACTATTTTGTAACAAATAGGTATATAAATAATAGAACCTATTGAGTTTTCATTTCTTTAATGATCATTACTCATGAAATATACAGTTGTATAGATTGTTATTGCTCATATGACCTAGTATTGTTCACAATGACTAATGCATGCTTTTAGAGTTATATGTTTTATACTAATATTTATTGAATGATTATATGCATACTTTTTTCTATTTTGTTGCATTAATTTCAATGATAGGTTCAAATAACTTATTGAGTTGTTAGCTCCTTCCGTGGTTTTACATGTTTTTCAAAAAGGGGATAGGATCTAATATAGTGAGACAGATCGGGATTCAAGTTTTTCTTTTATTTCTATATTTTATTTTATTCTTTTGAAATCAGTAAAAAGATAGGCTGATCGATTACTAATGGGACTCCCAATTATTGTACATGAATTTTGAGGAATAAGCATAATTTTACATTTTTTATATATATGATTATTAGTTGTCTCCACTAGACTGAATTATATTTGATATATCATCAAAAACTTATCTCAATCGAACACGAATCTCGAGGCAAAATCAAGTCGGAAACTTTAAAAATTAAATTCGGGATCACCTGAACTCCGATTTCAACAAACTTACAATCAAACTGAGCATCTCGAAAATATGAACCCAACGACACCAAATTCAACTCGATCTGAACCCAAATGAGTCCAAATCAAGGACCTGAAGCGATGTTGGAAAGTTCGAATCATAGTTTGAGTTACCAAACAATTTCCAAACATAACGTGCTTATAGTTGAATCGAGCAGCTCGACGAGACGAATCCAACGAGCCCAAGATCGTCGAATTCCAACATCATTAAGACCTTCAAAAATCTGACGAATGGTACACGATCAAGGGATTCAATATCGGAAGTCCATCCAACCACTCCCCATTTACCTCTGATCTCTCACCTATATACGGGTCATGCCACTCCAGAAATCTATAAATAGACCCATCATTTCTCTTGAGATGGTACCCAAGCAAGAAGAAGAAGAGAAGAGAAAAAGGATAGAAGGGAAGAAACTCCTCCTCGCCCCCCACCGGGAATTTTGCCCGAATTCCGAGCGACGCCGAAATTCCGCCCGATTTCCACATGACGCCGGAATTCTGCCCGACTTCCACGAGACGCCAAAATTCTGCCCAAGTAACGTCGGAGTTCCACCCTATTTTCTAGTGACGCCGAAACTCCGCCCAAGTAACGCCGAAGTTCCGCCCTATTTTCCAGTGGCACTGAAACATCGCCCAAGTGACGCCGGAATTCTACCCGATCTCCAAGTGACTTTGGGATTCAACCAGAATACCCGACATCGTTGAATCTCAAATTATTGCTTGTAACTGAACTTCAATTCGGGAGTGGATTATTGTAATCTGATTATCCTAAATTTTAAGGACGAGTCAGCCTCTTGTACCTCAAGCAAACACTAGTGGAACTCTTTCAACTAGGCGTGGCCCCGTGATTTTTCCTCTTCCAGGGTTTTCCACGTAAAAATCCTGGTGTTTTTATTTCTCTCATGTTTGTGTGCTAGATATATGTACAACGCTGAGACGTAAACTTTCTAACTCTATCGCCGTATATATTCTAGTTCGCAACAATATTGATAAATTATTAATAGCTCTGGTAGTTTAATTAAAGGTTATTAGGCAATTCTTCCAAATTTGATTTTGGGACATGCCATAATATGTATAGGTATTTAAGATAAATACAACAAAAATGCATAAATATATGTACATATGTTTATATGTAGGTAAAAATGTATCAAAACAGATTTCTAACAATTAACACTACTTTGGAACTTCCTCTAACTTGATTCAAGAGTCAATATTAACAAAGCATGTATGTGCATATCCAATCTTTAGTTCAGGTCACATAATTTAGAGATCAAATCAGTCGCATCATTAGGTCAATGAAGTAGAAAAGCTCATAAAACAAGAATAAGGGCTTTTTCAAAAAAAAGTTTAAGCAAAGTTTCTAATAGAAGTGCCAATTTGTAGCACTGTGACATTAAATAAACAAGGTGCTACATAATAGTATGATAAGGAGAACGAAAGTATTTAGTTTAGTCACACATCTGATAGGTAGTGAGGCCTGCAATGCTTTATGGTGCTGAATTTTGGCCTTTAAAAGAGAAGCATAATACTAAGTTAAGTGTGGCAGAGATGAGGATGCTCAGGTGGATGAGTGGCTTTACCCTTAGAGATAGGATACGAAATGAGCATATACGTGAAAAGGTTGGAGTAGCTCCAGTAGAAGATAAGATTAGAGAAAGTCTCCTTAGATGGTCTGATCACATAAAACGGCGGCCTTCCAATGACCCGATTAGGAGAGTAAAACGGCGGCCTTGCGATGACCCGGTTAGGAGAGTAGAGGTATTAGATTTGACTTATGTTAAGAAAGGTAGGGGTAGACCTAAAAAGACTTGGTTAGAAAATATTATGAATGACCTTTCTTTATTAGATTTAAACGAGAATTTGACTTTTAATAGGACACAATGGAGAAAAAGGATTCATGGAGCCGACCCCACGTAGTGGGATAAAGGCTTGATGTTGTTGTACACATCTGATAGGTAAAAATTATGACAATATAGAAATACCAAATAACTGGCCCTTACATATAGCTCAACCTTTTCAGTTGAAAACTTATCATGACCAACTTAATCCCCCTTTTTGTTAAGACATGGAGAATTTTCTTGTAAGCCTTAATTTTAAAGCCAAACCTACTACATGAATTTTTTTCATATATTTTTCATGCATTCCTAGAACTCTACCAAACTTGCATAATAATATTACCTATGCCGAGGCCATCTGCCTAACCTCTACGAGTTTGTTGCATACCACCTCTTAGCATTATATAAGGAGATAGTTGAATGATGTTGAATGCCATCAATTATGCTTCTCATTTATTAGCAAGATATAGAAGCTAAGATCAAAGACATGGCCAATGGAGTGATAGAAGATTAGTTAATTTAGCTAGTGTCAAAGGAGAATTTGTCGTACTAGTGAGACAAAAGTAAGAAAAATATTTCAGTGACCCTAAACTAACAGACATTTACCTCTCTATGGGACCGTGGAGGTAGGTGGATTTCATTGAATAACAAATTCTCTTTTGTTATTCTTTTATAATCTCTATCCAGACTATTTTCCGATTTTCATGATTGCCTTCGTCTTGAGCACACTTCTTCTCAACAACTAATATCAAAGCTTCGATAGCTTTGGAATCTATGAGAAAAGTGGGAGCGGGAGCAATGACGTAAAAAGATGGAAAGGTAAGGATTGATCAATACAAAGACAAGGACTTCAAGTACTGAAAAATGCAAATCAAAAATTAACTATGCCAAAGAAAACTGCATCTAACTCTCTTTAAGTAGAAGGCACAACTATGAGCCAAAAAAATTGGGATCTTGTAAACATGCAAGCATTGGGAGTTACACGTTTTTCATTGGCAAATAAATGTGGCATTCAACATAATACAAGAGAGGATCATCTTGCAAGCTTTATTAGACATGTATAAGAGTATTTTTAAAAAGATTTTTTAATCTCAAGAGAGTTGAAGGCGCTTCCGCAATGGCGCATGTCAATAAGTTTAATTTAATCACAACTTAATTGTGCTCAACTAGTATCAACTTTAATGATGAAGTTCATGCATTGAACTTAATCATCATTACCATAAATCTTAGATTGAAATTGCAATTGTAAGTAATTCATGTGGGCTATTAAGTCAAAGCTCAACTATGGCATAATCTTCAGTGAATCAAGAGATGAGAATCAATTGAAGATTCTACTTTTGTAGCTTTGAATCTTTTTGAATCTTAAGAGCAAAGAAAAAGTGCAATAAGGGAGAACAACATGGGTTGATTTAAATCTTAAAATAAGAATTTATTAAATCCATAGTAGTGTATGTTGGTCATATGGCAATATCAGCCACTTGAAAGGAATTCTCCATAAAGGAATGGTGGATAGAGTTCAAATCAAATATATTAGGAACATGTAAATGTTGCTCTTGATGCATTAGTCATTAGTGAGTATGGCCTTATGGAGCCCTAAATCTTTGACTCAGATGTAGCATTTCATATAAATCCACATAAAAATTTTATATATAATTTTTCTAGTGTACTAAGAAAGGGGTCAACTTATTGATGGGAACTTTTGAATGTTGTTTTACTTGGTGATGTGCAAATTAAAACTATTAATAGGACATGTTCCTAGCTTGAAGAGGAACCTAATCTCAATTGGGCAATTTGGCTAAAAAGGTTGTGTCTCAACCTTATATACTGATACTCGAAAGGTCATCAATGGTGCTTTGGTGATAGCATGTGGAAGCAAGGATGGCACCATGTACATGATAATATGATATCAAGCACCAAAATTTTAAAAGCAATTGTTGAATCCATTCCTGGATATTTTAGAGGTGTAATGTAGGATGAAGTTTCTAACAAGTAGAACTTCCAAAGGGTTAATTGGTATTACAGGATAAATGGCAATTCAAGAACTAGAAGCATTAAGATAACAACACAATGATAGTGCTAAATGATGAAAGATCTACCACTAAAATTTGAGGTATTATGAAACATCGATCAACCTTTATTGATGACTATGATGTCATGCCACACAAAGATGACTCATTCAAACGAGAACATCAAAATTAATCTTCAACTAAAAGATTGTTGAGAGTAGAGATAATTTTAACACCAACTTTACTTGTGAAGTAAAAACCTACTTCATTGATTTATTTCTTCTTTCATGGATCCCTAATATTTAACATTTACAAATATATTGTCGATCACCTAATACCATCTACCTAACAATAATAAATTTGTTATATGCCACCTCTAAGTGTTATATGAAGATAAAGTTGCATGATGTTAAAGGACATCACTCATTATTATGCTTTATTCAGCCAAATGTAAAGGCAGCCTTCTAACGAGTCAATGGAGTGATTAGAGGTTGGTAGTTATATTGGCATGTGTCATGCAAAGAGATTCATCTATTGAGTACTCAACATCAACCACTAAAGCTATGGTGGTGATAGTTAAAAGTTAGAGGTCTACTTAAAAGGAAATTAACAATTGTTGCTAAAATTCGTGGCCGATGAAGTGGTCCAACATAGGAAATGACAAGATTTCTTGTATATCCAAGAGCATAATCGATGAAGCATTCTCAAATTTGAAGAGGGAATAAAAAAGAGAGAGAGAGAGAGAAAAAAGGAAATGTTAGTGAGATAAAAGTGAGAAATATTTGAGTGAATATTTGTATCTTATTTTTCTCTACAGACTAATGGGGCATGTATCTCTTTATATGTTGTGAACATTGATAGATCTCATTAAGCGATGTAAACTTTTTTTTTTTCTTTTCATAATGTTGTTATAGATTATTTTTCCTATTGTCATGAACATCATTACTCTTGGGCATACTCTTTTCCCTAACACTTTAATCTATGCTCACTAACAAATGAAGCAAAGGTTTGATTGGGCTTAAGTCATACAATTTGTGAATCCCATAGATCTTGGTCCCTTCTACTATGATTGGACAAAATCCAAAAGTGAGACTTCAAAGCATGACCCACATAATTGAGTGGACTCTTGGTGCATGATTCTTGATGATGTTAAAAAACTTATATTTAGGGGCAGTAGAAACTAATGTGGAGAGCTTTCATGAGAGGGAGATATAATTAAGGCACATGAAAGTATTCTTTTTAGTCCCATCTTAGAGAAGAGAAAAATAAATTAGTGTAGAAATTCCAACTGATTGACCATCACCCATAGGCTTAAAATTTTAAGCTAAAAATGAGTTAGCCATTAATATATCGGGTCCAATTTTGATCTCTTTTTGGTCTACAATCCATAACATAAGCATTGGCCATTTTTGTTGGAACAAGTGCACAACTCACATGTTTGTTGTAAGCATGCTAATATAAAAGCCCCATATAAAATATTTATCACTATCTTTTCACATAAAAAAATTACATAAATAAGGCATGAAGTATATAGGAGTGTGAGTCAAGCTAACTCATGAGTCGGCTTGGGCTTGGCTTGATAAATGGTTTGTTAGCCAAGCTCGATGAGTTAGCGAGCCAAGCTTGAGCCAGCCCTTACTCGACTCGTTAGCTTGTAAGTCTGCTCGTTTAAAAATATTAATATAAAATGTACTTAAAATATATTAGCATTCAAAATTTTAAGTATAAAGTTATAAAAAAATATTTAAAAAATATATCTCACTTTTTATATTAAGTGATTATTTATAATTTTTTTCTTTCATTCATTTTATCATGTTATTATAATAAATGCTGAATCATAATTATTTTCTCTTTTTCATAATAAATGAGACAACTTGAACTCGTAGAATAAAGCTCAAACTTATGCAATGGGTGACTCAAACTCGACTCGATTCATTTACACCCCTAAAAACATCATATTGGATATAACACAATTTTACATATCAAAAAGACTAAAATTATGCAAAAATACGTTTAGTTAAAGTAACTAGCCAATTTCTCAAGCTTTGATACATTGGCAGTCATGAGAAATCCGGCACCTTTACAAAGGTATGTGAAACAAGAAGAAACAAATGCAAACCAATTTAACTGTGTGGCACTACAACGTGATAGCTCATAATGCTGGAAAAAGCACAAGGATGTAGATGCCTCCTTTACACAAACTACACATAAGGAGTTTTTGTGAGGAGGTTCAAATTCAAACTATGCCCTATTGTTAGATTCTTGATTCACAACAAATTATTAAACTAAGAACAATAATAACAACGTCAAGCCTTTATCCCACTATTTTGGGTCAGTTACATGAATCTTTTTTCTCCATTGTGTCATGTTAAGAATAAAATTTTAATTTAAACTAGTTTAAAAAAATTCTATTATGAAAACATATGATTCCCCTACACAGTCTTCATTTCAAACTTGCCCAAACTCATCATAAAATAAATATTATAAGTAACAGTAAAGGAATAACACAAGCATTTTGATAATAGAGAAAGTCATCAATCACAATTAAGTTAAGATGTCATGCTGAGTACCATGATTTTGACTGCATTGCTGATTTTATCTAGGCCGATTGTGAAACTAGAAGTTTCAGTATCAACGCAATTATTCTGATGAGAAACAATGTGCTTATCAACAACAGATTCAGAACAATCCAAATCAATCGAAATCTCTTTTGAAGCGAGAACGGAATGGCAGTTTAATTCTGGTTCCCCTTGCATCATTAAATTAGTTTCTTCGTGGCCGTTGCCATTAGCAAATGAAATGATTTCGGTTTCCTTTTGACACTGAATATTTGATGATTTTAGATGCATTAGAGGGGAAAACATGCCATTTGGTGAGGTCCTATGATGCCTAGCAATACCATCATTTGCAGAATCTTCATTATGTGAGACACTTTGTTCTCCCTTCAATTGCATGGCATTGCTGTCTGGGGAAAGATAACAAAGATCATCCATTTGTTGCAAAATACAAGTTTTTGAATTACTTTGTAGACCCTGAGGACAGATCTTTTTTGACCTTGCTTCCCTCATAATATCATTTCGAGCATTTCTCTTCTTTCGAATTCTCTTTCTAGAGCAACGTTTTTCTTCGAAGGCAGACACTAAACTGGAGTATTGGTCAGAGACTTGAGGACATATTTGGTCCTTATTCTTAGATCCATTGCAGAAGAAAGGGGAAAATAAACTTCTTCCTTCTGCCGTGTTCACAAGCTCACGAAGCAGTCTCTGGATGGATGGATTTTTGAATCCAAAAAGCTGCACAAATATGGAAAAACAGCACGAAAATAAACAAGAAGACAAGTAAGATACACATCAAAACTCCTAAACTATACTCTTTTGTGCCCGCCACACAACTAAGAAATTTCAGAAAATGAACTTTATACAATTAAAACTCATGCAATGGAAAGCATAGCGTGTTTAAAAGGCCGGGAAAGCACGCTTTTTAGAAGGCCAGAAAACCGCCACATTTAATAGTAAAGTCTCCTCATGTCACATGAATTCATATAAAAGCTAACATTACACAAATTCAAAACTGCTGCTATCTAATTTTTCTTTTAGAAAGGGTATGTCTACATTCTACAAATCCTATTTTTCTAGACAAATATACTGAAATTTTAAGAACTTTCTTGCCTCAGAACCATCAATTTTATTTGAAAGTCTCTTCACATTCCAGTTCTTCAGTTTGGGACAGTTCTTCTGGTAATTCTCCCAAGCAATATCAGGAGTTTGACCATTAAATGAACTCCCATCAACTGCTGTGATCTGCACAATGCAAGATTTCAGCTAGAGTAAAAATTTATGAAAAGCATTGTCAAAAGTTGACGTTCAGTAGTTCAAAGATAGACAAAGGGGAAAAGTTTTGTCAACATACAACAAATAGAGGCCCTTTCAGTCCCTCGCAAACTTCCATCTGAAAAACATTTCCAGCATGAGTTCGAATAGCATGATAACCAACTGGATAAGGGTAACGGTCTTTGCCCTGTTTAAACAAAGAGATGCACTCTTATAAGAATGGTTCTGCCCACTAAAATCTGGAATCCAAATAGCAATAAATAAATCATTACACTGGATCTTAATCATCAATATTAATGAGCAATAACAAGCTGTCCTAAATCATGAAAAAATTAATAAAGATGTTTGAAGATTCCAATGAGAATCTGCTTGCATAGTCAGACAAATATAAGTGCTGCATTTTACCAATCATGCTAAGCAGTGTGAACCCTCCTCTAAGGTTACAATTATATCCAAAAACTACAAAACAAGCTCACCCACTCATATAGAGCTAGAGAGTAAGAATTTGTTTTCAACAACGACACTGATGAAATTTAGGCAAAGCACACAGTGTAGGCTTTGCAAAAAGAAAGACAGATTTACATTGTACATTCAAATTCAAGCAGGCTGACCTAGAAAAATATGGTAAGCAATTTGATAAGTGGAGGAAAGTAACGAAACAACGTTGTGCAATTAACAAAAAAACAAATGAGACCCTATTTTCAAGATTTCAAGAGCAAATTGACTTGCATAATATTCCTGGTTTAGTATAGTCCTGCGGACATTTTGTGGGGCAGAAAATTTTAGGCAAATATAGCAAAAGAGAAGCAAACCTGAAAGTCCCTAATTATTAGGAATGTGAATTATATGTATTGATGTTGCTTCTTAGTTTTTTTCTTATTATTAATTTATTATCAATATAAAACATTCCAATCAGTGGCGGAGCTAAGAGCGGGCCTGTGGAATTTTTGGAATTGATTGAAACTTGATTGGGAGTTTAGCTAAGGATTTAGCAAAATGCAGTTTTTTTAATTTTAGGTCTATTGCAACTATTGAATAGGAGTTTTTGGAATTGATTAAAACATGAATTTTAAAGTTGGAAACTTGTTACACATGCAGAAAATCATGAAGGATATATTGAAATATGTTGTATTTGAATATATCTTAAGAGATTGTGAATTTGTGATTAGTTTCTTTCTTCTTTGTTGTGCTTTGTTGATAATAAATAGGATCTCTCAGGCATGTAAAAATAATTGGATATTGAGTATTGAAATGAATTTTCAGTTTTTCTCTATTTTTATGTGTAATTGTTAGTGTGTACTCTCAGTGCTATGTAAGTGTGAACATCTTCAAAAGATGAATCTCCTTGTACCCGCAAAAAGCATAATTCTTCCTTTCAATTATTATCGTTCCAATATGCTGGATCCTTGGTTTTACATGTATAATTGAAATTTGTTAAATGTGATATGTGCCAAATTTCTTTGAAATGTGAAATTGGTTATTGCTAAACTTTATGTTCATTCACTATTTTCTTATAGAATTTCATATTTTGACATATATTAAATTATATTTGGAATGAAGGAAACATTTTTGTTGTTTTTCGGTTAGAAGTAATAGTTCTTGGAATGATAATTGTGATTTTGTTTGCGTTTCAATGTAAATCTCACCCAGAATTATATTAATAACCCAAGAATCTTAACTATTCCAGATCAATAAGCATATCTTAGCAAGCTAAAATGAAACTTTGTGCTGGGTATTTAAAAGAACAATGTCCCAAAAGTGTGTATTTAAGATGTTTTTATTGTCTACATTTACTTAGCATCTCCAACTCTAACCAGCCCTAGAACCTTCCTTCAAGTTGTACTGAGCCTAATTCACTAGTTAATGCATTGTAATGAAAATGTCAAAATACACATGAAAGTGGATAGATGCCTTCTACTGAAAATGCTAAGATATATATGAACGTGGATAAAATACTGGCCATTATACAAGTAAAACAGATAGATGAAATCCTTGAATGTTAGTGGTGACCCTTAGGCATTCACATAAGCGAAATCCTTGAATGTTAGTGGTGACCCTTAGGCATTCACATAAGCATTGGTTTAATAGGTACCCATACAGTAATGTAATAGGCTCAACTCCCATTCTAATATTCTATCCCAAAATAAGTGATTAATTGTCCAATTGGAATCAGGAAATTCAAATGTAATTCCCCTTAAATCGGAACATCGACCATGATTGAGTAAGATTTATGAGAGTTATTAACACAATGCTGACTCATGTTTAAATACATTATAGATGCATGAGTGAATGACCCTCGATGCTTTTGAAGCGTCTCATAGTCTGATATATATGGGAATTTCAAACTAGTTAAAATTGCTGATGCATCCAAAAATGGATAAAAAGGTCCCATTCGTGCAATGAAATATTTAGTTAGAACCGTTGTATGTTAGTGGCAGCCCTAACCTATTGATTTTAACTTTCGACATGTTTTAATTGTTAGCATATTGGATCAATTTTGCGATGTTGTACACCAACAATCAGTACAAACTCCTTCATGCCCCCCAATTAAGATCTACAAAAGAATGGAGGATTAGCCCACATCAATAGTGAAAATATGATTCAAATTCCTAAAATAATAGTATAATTTCTTATGCTAGCAATTTGTTAGAAGTTCATTATTTATTCCAAGGATTATAATAACCAAAAACATCGAGAAATAAGACCAAATTTTACTTAAAATTTATACCCAACATTCACATGTCACGAAAATGATCAAAATCATTTTGATAAAATAATTCTTCTTGCTACGGCAATCATTTTGATAATATATATAGCCTAAACATCACCATTGTTCCTATTAGTGTTATTATATCAAATGAATAATGGTAATGTAGCATCATGATAGGAAACACATGTAGATCTCAAGTATTTCCTATCAATCTTCGAAAACAGCGAGCTTCTACACAAAAATCAACACAAAACTACGAAAACAGTAGATAATTTGTATTATTTGATGAAAGGGAAACATAAATTAGCAAGATACAATTGATCTTCTATTCAAGAGGATGATTGATATCTCCCAAATTTCTAGACGCCGCTAGATCCCAAAGAAAAACCTAAATCTAGGAGATCTCAAATTTCAGCCAAATTCAAGATGCCCTAACCCTAAGAAAACAAAGTATTTAATGCGTACAAATCAAAAGGAAATCCCTAAACAATCCCTATATTCAAATTCCCTCCTAAGCTTTCTCAAAAATACTTCCTAAATCAGCCCGCTTGGCGCTTGCGGTGCAATCAGCGACTCAGCGTACAGGAGAGGCGAACGTCTCCGCCTCGATTCCACCTAGACCGGTCATTTATGGACCGGCTAGACCGATCTAACAATACTCCCCTCCCAAAGATCCACCTTGCCTGCAAGGTTGAAAGACGACACTCTCCATTCCTTCTTCATCACAAATGGTAAGAACCTGAAGAGTTCGGGTCCTTACACCCGTGCCCCGGCATATACCTCTCGTCACATCTAAAACAGAGCCCATTCGCTTTCTTCTCCTATAATTCTGACTCTGTGAGCTTCTTGAAGTTGTCCCCAGGTCTTCCTCCTGCAGTTTTTCCTTCGAAGTCCCCCGAAGAGTATCCAGTGTTGACTCCTTGAATTTTAATAAGGTGGTGTTCATCCTGTAATTATATATGCCATAATTAACAAGATCATATAGGTCGCTGTCAGGTGATTTTATATTTGTCCAAATAGCAAAAGTCTATATAATCAACTTGTGGTTTGCAAACGAGGGCGTTACATTCATCAAGCATACATACATTGATAAGTCAATTTCTTCAAAGAATATTGCATATCCAAGAAAATATCAAGCCAAATTCAAGTATGGGCTGGGTCATTATATCGACAGATCCTCAGTCGCAAACCTGCGCAGCAAGGGAACACATGAAGAAGTTGAAGTCGTTAGCGACTCATTAACAGCTCTGCCTCAAGTGAAACAGTGGAAGTCGAAGAGCAGCGACGGAACGGCAACGAGTGGAAGGAAGCGAAGAAACTAACTACTCAATCAAAATTGAACCTCACGTTGAAGCAGGCGAAGTCGAACAGCAACGAAGGTGAAGTCGAGCAGCAACGAAGCGCATGAAAGGGGAGAAAGATGGCTACCGTCGCAGCAAGCAAAGCTCCTGATGTTACTTCCTATCCAAGAAAAGAACGTCGTCGAATTGTCGTGACTTCCGATCCGACAAGTAAGGAACGTCGTAGAAGAAGGCGAAGAAGCTTTTACGATTCGTTCAAAACTCTACCAAATGTGAAGCAGGTGAAGTCGAACAACGAAATGTCGAAGGAGGCGAAGAAGCTTTAGGTTAAGGTTTTTAAAAAAAGAATTTGCGTTCTTTGAGGCGTACGCCCCACAGGAAAGAGGCGCGGCGCGCCTCAGCCAAATTGAGCTGCACGCCTCACAAAAAAAGTTTGAGGTGTGCGCCTCATGGTATGTTTTTTTAGTAAATGCACAGAGGCGCACAGTGGCTATACATCTGCCGATGACTGGATGCCCAATGGCAGCACAAGAGCATCTGGCTTCGAGTCCGAGCGAGTAACAAAGACGAATGAACAAGTATCTTTTTAATTCTATTATCATTTTTGCTCCATTGCCTTTCAAAAAGCTGACGAATTCCAAACCCTTCACCTATTACAATCAAAACTTAACATAACCAATCAATTCCTCCCGTAAAACCTCTTAAAATTATTTTTTGAGCGCACACCAATCAATCACTGGCCACACCAGCACGGAAACGATTATAAGCACAAAACACTGGAGTGACCATTTCCGGCAGTAGAATAAAAACCCGGTAAGAATGAACACTGAGTACCACAAAAAAAAGCAATAGCTAGCAACAACCAGACACTATCTTCTGAAAACTTGATGAGAAAAGCAATGACAGATGCATTCCATCTTAGCGGAGTTTAGGCTGCCAATTTAAAGTTCATGGATGAGGCTTTGCATATATGCGAGAATGCAAGTTTTGCTCAAAGTCACACAACAACAACAAAAAAACAATAACAGCATCATGGCTTCATCAAAGCTATGAAGGTTTTAAAATCCGAGTGAAAGGTCACAAACCCTAGTGCAGCTCCAGTACTTCTTGTCCCAGGGACCAACATATAGAGAGCCGATGGAGGCAATCTCGAGGTCGTCTGCCCGCTCAGCACCGCGATTCTCCATCGATAAGTGACAGAAGAGTAGGCGTCAGGGAGGGAAGAAAGCGCTTGAAGAAAGAAAAGGAACGAGCACGAGAGAACTCACAGAAGTGAACCGGAGGGAGAAGTCGAGAAAAGCAATCAGAAATTTCCCATCTGGCCTGATATATGTATATTATTTCTACTTCGCTTTTATTTTTTCCCGCCAATGAATTCTTTGGTTCTTTGCGCTTGCGCGAAGTTTTTTTTTTTTTTTTCTTCCCAATAATGCTGAGAAGCGACAAAGTTAATGGGGAAACTTAAATATAAAACCGGTTAAAAAAAAAAGACGCCGTTGCCGGGGATCGAACCCGGGTCACCCGCGTGACAGGCGGGAATACTCACCACTATACTACAACGACTTTGTTTAAAAGAATCCCTTTAATCTATATTTGCTAACAAAATTGTTAAACTATTTCAAAAAATTTATTTTGAAGTGAAAATTAAAATATAATATAGATAGTAGTTCACATAATAAGTTAAATTTTCCTACCTTGTATATATTTTTTTATTATGCATTTAATTTATATGATGAAATATAATTCTTGATTTGTTTTTTACATTTCAAATGATCAAAGTATAGTCATAAATTTTCTAAGTTGATCATGAGCTGTGAATTCTATTTTTAGCAAATTTATAGTCAAGATGAGAATTTATGAATCCAACTCCAAATGGACCTGTCAAGTACTCAAGCATAATTGAAAACTCTCTAAAATCATTTGAAATATCAAGCATACTTAAGAATGAGTGCATCCTCAAATTGAATTGGGCAATTGTAAGATTGCTAGATTTTGAGTTTATTACTGTTGCACTATAATGCTTAAAAATAAGCATTATTATTTCTCATTGTCCAGGACCTGTAAACCTTTCTCAACATCATTCAATGACCGATATTGATTACAGTCATTTACTGATATCAATGATAGTTTTTGCCACCACCCAACGCAAACCATCGACAAACATCGACACTCGAAATCGCTATTGTTTAACATTTGTAACCACAAACAACTAACGGTCACATTTTCAATAGTTTAGGAAGAGCAAGTGAGTTCCGTATGGACTATATCACTCATTTCACCAAGGCCACTTGTGAGGTTATGATCTTCAAGCTAGCCATCATGAAGTTGCCAAGTACTCTATAGCCAATCATCGACTCTTCAATAATATCAACCCTAAGTGGCCATTTGAGACCATTGATATATTAATGTCCATATAAGAAAATGACTACATTTTTATTGGCCAGCACTTCCCTTCCACCCATCAATGAATTTGGACCACTCCAACCTACCTATATCATAATGAACATACTTACAAGACAAAGATTGTTGGGTCCTTATAGCGCTCTGAGAGGCAATATTAAAGGAAGGCCACTTGTAGTAATGTCTAGTGCACACACCACCTCCAGGAAAAAATAGTAATGTCGACAACCCTACTAACTAGAAAGACCAATGATTAGCATCACTGTTTGAATAATAGAATTACTCACTTCATGAGCTTAAGTTTATAATCACGATTTCAATATAAGTTGATATATGCTAATAATTTTATATAAGGTTGGTACATTAATGGTCTCAATTAATTCAAATGAAGCTTAAAATTAGGGGTGTCAATTCGGGTCAGCAGGTCGGGTTCGGGTCGAACCCGAAACTGACCCGGCACTGTTCAGTTCAATCCGAACCCGACCCTTTTTAAAAAACAGGTCAAGTTTTCAGACCCGAACCCGACTCAATTCGGGTCCGGGTCAACCCGACCCGACACAAATGACCCGAAGTTGACCTAAAATTGCTAATTTTTGGGTCAATATCGGGTCAATATTCAATTTTCGGGTCAAAACGGGTCAATCTCGAGTTTTCGGGTCAAATATGAGTTTTCGTGTCACTTTCGGGTTAATTTCGGGTTGTTGGGTCAACCCAAATCCGACCCGATTTTTAAAACGGGTTGATTTGTTCAACCCGTACCCGACCCGTTTCGGATTCGGGTTGACCCGAACCCGGATTTTTCCCGATCGGATTTGGGTCGTGTTTCGGGTCATGTCAAAAATTGACACCCCTACTTAAAATTGCAAATCAATAGTATATTTATGACTAGGCGAAGCTATGGGTGCCATTAGTTCGAGTGAACTCAATAGCTATCATATGATCAAGCATAATGCTCAAAAAATAAATTTATTTTTAAGTAATAAAACTACCATATTTTAAGTTGTTGGGGCATTAATATAACTTACATACACTCATAAATCAAAATAAAAAATAATTAAATTAAGTAAAATGCATTATTAGAAAAATATAGAGCTAACTATATCACACTTTTTGTCGTTATATATAGATCATAATGTACAATCAAGTTTAATCTCATATTTGAATTAGATTGAAATGCTTGCTTAAATGAGAGCCTATATAATTCATAAAAATTGATTTTATGATCATGTTATACAAATTTGATTATATTGTTTGATATGTTATATTTTAAAATAAATCAATAGGATCGATCAAGTTTTTATTAATTATGAATTTCAAAATTTCAATTGATTGAATTTCAAAGTTACTTTCTTAGTATGAAGGCTAATAATTACTACCATAATATTATTATAAATACAATTATAAGTTAAAAAAAATTATTATAATTTTAAACCCTAAGAGATAAATTCCACAAAGGGAATAAAAAATTAAAGTTCCTATATCAAGTCTTCTTCCTCTTATGAACTTTTGACGCATGAGTTTGAGTGTTTAGGTTTTGAAAGCTTATTTTGTTGATCTAAAGAGAGTGATGATTGATCTTAACAAGACATCTTATAAAAGCTTAATTATCTACCAAGATGTGCTAAGAGTAGTCAGTACCATACCTTAAATTTATGCTATTACATAGGTCATAGGGGGTTATACTAAGGTTTCGTTTAGAACAATTTTTTTTTTTTTCTTTTTAGAACAAAATTTTAGTACAAAAATTTAAAATTTTGCACTAAAACTCTATTTTAAGAAGCAATAAAAAAGCCGTCTCAAACGAAGCCTAAGTGTAACGGGATTCACACTTTAAATAAAATTATAACATGACTCCATTATGGCATTGCCACGAAGAAAAGAGGTTTTTATACTTTGCATTAGTCAATGAGAGATCAGTGGAAATTCAGAAAGAATGACTCACTGAGTGAACATATGCCTATTGGGTGGCCAACTCACTCTATATTGGCTTGAAATCTTTTTTCTTTTCACACTATTTACTTTGCATATTTATTTACTTATTGTAATCATGTATTAACTTCACATGCTTATACTTTGAGATATAGATTGCTTCTTATTAGTAACTCATGAGAAATAAAAGGGAAAAGCTAAAATCAAATTTTTATGTAAAGATTGTATTGAAAAA